GATTATCCCGAGCTTCCGGCGCACAAAAGGCCTGAACGGCACGGTTCACAAACCTCATCTGACACAGAAAACGCAACGCCCAACAGTGATTCATCTCTGCAAGCAAAATTTCACCAAATATGCACATGAAATATTTACTAAAAGGGACATGACCGCATGCCAGGTGAAAGGGAAAGATTCGATAAATATCAAAGGACTAAAATTATTCAGAGTATATTCTGCATCTAGCATTAAAATGGACAACAAAGAAAAGATAACTAGAAACCCCCAAATGTCTGGGAACTAAGCAACGTAGTTCGAGTACCCATTAGCGAAAAAGTATTTTGAACTGAAGGATACAATGAAAAGAAACATGAAAACTAGATGCAGACAGAATTGTGCTTATATTAAAATCTATACTTCAAAGTGAAAATTTCAGAAATGGAGACTGGAAGTCAATGACATAAAGCATTAATATCTAACAGTACAATCTGGAAGCTGAGCACAATTATTTCTTTGAAAAGAATAAAGCAAATGACATACAGACCTCTCGCAAGGTTAACCAAGGGGGACAAAGGACAAAACTAGCACGAGCAAAGGTGAAGGAGAGCAGCTGAGAACATGGATAACGGGGGGCAAGAGAATATTAAGACGGTAATGAGACTATAAACAAGCGGTCAATGTTTAAAGCAGCTTGATTCGTAACTGCAGAAATTTGGAAGCAACTAAGATGTCGATAAATTTGAAAATTTAGATACAAGTACAATTCCTTGCGAAGTGCCCCTTACCAAAACTGAAACGAGAGATTAAATAAATCTATTCTATTAAAAAGTTAATTTGTAATTAAAATTCTTCCCACAAAGGAATATTTGAATTCTTTAACCATTTATGGAATAAAATTAATCTAACAGAAATTCGTTCAGAGAATAGGGAACATTTCTCAACTTGTTTTGCGAAGCCAGCAAAAGTGACGTAACTCCTCACGAAGACGACAGAATGGGCACAGCAACCGTCTTTCTTACAAAAACAGGTGCAAAAATCTGTACAAAATGTCAGCAAGTTTAATTAGCAATATGTAAAAAGAAGACTATATCACGCCCAAGAGGCGCTTGTTCAGGAAATGCAAAAGCAGCGTCCACGGCAGCTTCATGCGGCTTCGCCAACGCTTGGAAGCAGCCGAGATGTCCTTCCGCAGGTGGCGGGTAAATGACCCGGGGTCCATGCCGACAATGGAATTTCATTCGGCGATTAAAAGAAATGAGCTCTCAAGTCAGGAAAAGACGTCGAGGCACCTTAAATGCACGTTACTCCGTCAAAGCAGCCCATCTGAAAAGGCTCCATACTGTGCGATTGCATTTATACGACATTCTACAAAAGGCGAAAAAACCCAGAGAAGTAAAAATTCCAGTGGCTGCAGAGGCTGGGAGGGGGCTGCTACGGAGGGATGGACAGCGGCAGCACAGAGGAGCTTCGGGCAGTGAAAATGCTCTGTATGATTCTGTGATGATGGACAGACGCCACGACACATTTGTCCCAACCCGGAGCGTGTGAACCCTCCTGCGAACCACCGGCGTGGGGTGCTCAGGACGGGTCAGGCTCCCCAGGTTCACGGGCTGGAAACGAGGCGTCGCTCTGGTTGGGGGGCTCGCGGGGGGCAGGAGTGGGCGGGAAATCCCCGTGTCTTCCTCTCACATTTTATTGTGAAATGAAACTGCTCTAAAATAAAAAAAAAATGTTAGATTTTTAAAAAACCATCAACGTGATTCACATTCTCAGAAGGGAGAAGAACCGCACTGATCTCAACACGTGCAGAAAAGCGACTGATCAAGTTTACCGACCGCTCACCACCAAAACGCTTAGCAAAATGAAAACAGGAGCGAGCTCTCCCCCTCTGACGAGGAAAACCTGCGCGAAAATTAAACACCGGCAGAAAAGAGCCGCCTCCGCCTGGTCCCGGCCCCAGGCCCTACGACTGCGGATGAGTCGTGGACGCCCGCCGCCGCCACCTGTATCTGACAGTGTTCTGCAAGTTCTAGCCAGATGTCGTAGGCAAAAAGGGAAGTAAGACAGGGTTGGGATGGAAGAAATAAAGCTGTAATTATTCCCAGACTCCACGATCACGTATGAAGAACATGCACAAGAACCTGTGCGGATAAACTATTAGAATAATTTAGCGCGGTTGCTGGATCACCAAAGCCCACAGCCCCTCGGCAGCCACAGTGGGGGGCTGCGACGGAGGGGTGACAGCAGCCACGGCAAGGAAGACCAAACACAGCGCAGCAGCAACTGCCGCCCGGGAAGGGACGCTGCGTCTCCGGTGTGGTCCGCAGCCCTGACACGCCAGCGACTCTCCAGCCCAAGCGGCTCTCTGGCGCTGAGCCTGGCGACGGGGACGCCAAACCCGAACCACGACACGACCTTGGCCACTGGCCCCGGTCAACGGCAAAACCCGTCACGCGCCTGCAAACAGGAGGCCGAAGCGGTGTGGCAGGCAGACGGCTGCCGCGCTGCTCCCGGACCGAAGCGGCCCCCACGGCGTGCTCGTGCTTAGCTCAGCGCCTTCACCTGCTGTCAGAATCCACCTGCGCCAGGGATTCCCGAACGGGCCACGCTCTCCCCACCGGGCCTTCCTCGACTCTTCTACGTGGTCCCGTATCTGACTCTGTCAACAACCAGCCACCTCCCCTGCTGGTGGCATCCGTGTTTGTCTCTGACGGTCTTGAGCACTCTGAGCTCTGGCATCGGGGCCACCTCTCTGGCAGTCACCGGCACGCGGTTTAGTGACTTGGAGGGATGGTCAGCACTGTGAATGAGAAATCCCAGAGTTCTTTCGGCCACACTGACTACTCTGCATCCAAACAACCGAATTCTGTGTGTCGTTGGTGTGGTTCTCTGTTTGGTTCCGACCTATGGCTACAGCTGTACAACTGCGCTGCCCACTCCGGGTCCCTAACTGGAAAACGTCCTTTGGCCCCGCACCTGCGGGGCGGGCGGAGGGGGCTCTCTCAGGCCTTGGCTCAACTGCAGCCCTTCCGTCCTTATAACTTTTTGAGATGACCCAGACATGGAGATCTGCTACTTGTGTACACTACACAATGTCTTTTTCAACAAAGTATCAAAGAAAAGGAAGCGAAAAGATTTTAAAACTCTGAAACGCCTGGTTTCACATGGCTCAGACCCGTACTCCTCACACTATCCTGAAGGACCAGTTTCCTTTGCTTTAATGTCTAATTTGTCACAGACCAATAAATACTTCTATAAAATACAATAAAAAGTTATTTCTAGAAAAATGAAATTTAAAAAGAAAAGACATACAAAAGCCAAGCACAAAACTTCTATCATCAGTACTAAACAAAATCGCTGTCACATTACTGTAAAGGTTCTAGAGTTGACACCAAATTTGACCCTGAGTTGACACCAAATTTGACCCTTCTTTTGTCCCAGACTGTAAACAGTTCTAGCGCCAAGCCCGTCTGCTGACCACGCTTCCCTGTCCCAAGCCAGGACTCAGGGTGCGCTTGCACCCTGCCACAGGGGAGCACAACATGCTCACCGAAACGCAGCTCGCCCGGCCAGAGCTTCCAGTCCCCCTTCGGCTAACAGAAAACGTTTCAGGGTTCCTGGGGCCCGACTGTGTCTTCTCTTGGGAGAAGCAGGGCAGCCCCGAGTCACGGTGGGAGGCACCGAGGTGCTGAGCAACCTGGGCGCTGACTCCGAGGCGCATGGGAGGCCTGACACAAACACTCCATGAGGAGCCCGCACGAGCGAGGGCGAGAGGCGCGGGGACCACATGACATCCGACTCCAGAGTCCCCTGTACGCAGGGAGGGCTCGCTGCAAGAGCAACCGCATCGTGCTGGAAACACGCCAGCCCTTTGACGGAAACTGAGATGCTGGCCAGAATGTGAGAGAAGCAGCAAAGAATGTAA